CCTCCTTATAAGGTTTAAGGGTTTGATTCTTGGAGTGTGCTTGTTGTTGGGTTTTGGCACTATCTGTCTTCCTACATTTAAGTGCAGGCCGAGGACAGCGCTTCTTCAAGCCACACCGTGCCGGTATCCAAATAACACGCCGCATTTGGCAACCACTCGACACACCCCCTCCCCCCCACACCCCCTGACACCCCCCGAAACCACCCGAGCAGCTGTCATGCTCTCACTGTACTTGAAGCCACGTATGCTTTCTTCCACAACAGCGTCATGACTCATGACGTCAATATAAATCGCCGCAAAACCATGCGAACCCTTTCCGAACCGAAGTGAAGCAACGGCCTTCCATCATAGTATAATAATTTTGTGTTCTGCAAATGGGGAGCGGGAGGCGAAAAGGCAAACTCCTCCCCAACCTCCCGCTCGTTTTCAGTCCGCGCATGCTTCAAAACATCGTGCGATCACTGTGGTTAAGACAGTCGCGGGCTGCACCCCGCCCCAACCCCCACGCAAGGAAATTTCATCCCCTCAAAATCCATATGGACCATTTTCAAAGTGGAGTCTGGAATGCAAAATAATGCAAATGAACTCTGTCTCCTTCCCAAACCCATCATGCAGTACGATCAGTATGTTTGCAGATGGGGTGGGGAGGGGGGGGGGTTGCTGCTCCCCGCTCTTTTCAAAGCCACCCGTGCCCAATGATCATCATGTTATGCAGGGAGCTATTGTGCCATCGAAAGCCTGGCATTTCAAGATGCCGAAAACTGCGAAAGGCTGCGCCCGTCATTTTGCGGCACGCATTCGGAGGTGCGTAAAATGTTGTACCTGGCCATTGACAGCTTTACAGTTGCCGAACGCCGTCGGCGGCAAATGTATTGAATTGTGATTCGCAGCAGTTGCAGGTGCGAAGATTGAACCAATGCTGTCCTTTACAGCTATTGAAGCTGTCAACCCACAAAAAATGCAGCGTTTGGAGCATCCATCGGTCAAGGTTTGCAGCGTTGCTTCTGCGTTGGCAAAAAGAAATTAGCATGGCTAATATCTTGGGATGATGCCCAAGCCCGCGGAGAGCCTCGCCTGCTGTGTGAGAGTCGAAGCCCTGCGAGGATTTGGGCCCCGAGGACAAGCTCCGCTATCCACTGTTGCAGCACGCCACCATGATGGAGGCGGCAGTGTCATTTTTGGTTTGGTCTAGACTCCTCGGTGTGTACGTTTGAGCAAGGTGTCGCTGTGCCTGCAGAGGGCATGCACTTTGTTTTTCTTTTGCGTAGTACGGTACGATGAACATACAAGCACACCCACACACACAGACACACGGTTGGGAAGTGTCCTGCTTGAATTAAAATGTTGGTCGCGATTTTCAGAACAAGTAGGTTATTCTGGCGCTACCGCCTCCAGTTGTGAAAGGCGACCCGCCACAGCCCCGACCCCTGCTCATGCGATCTTTGCTCATCGATCGCTGTGTACGTCACCCGTCACTCGTCACATGTCCAGAACACTTGAATGCGCCATCCTCTCTTGCACAGATGATTGTGACAGGAAGGGCAGCAGCCTGTCGTCCAGAACATGCCAAGCCATGAGAGGTTTGAGTGAGTAGGCCTTTCATGCTGAGGCAACACCTGCAAAACAGGTACGAGCCCTGAGCCGTTATGGGGAGAACTGGGAACATTCAAGTTGATTCAAGGTTAGGAGCATCTATAGAAAATATAGAGGATGCCTAGGCGGGTGCCCCAGCGAGCAATGATTGCAGGTGACTGTTCGAGCAGGAGATGGCTGGCCGCATTTCAGATCGTACAAGTATGTCTTGTTGCACGACCCCCAAAACTTTGGCAACCAAGAACGCAATCATGATCAGATGAGGCCCGGGAACAGTGCAGTCAATGAAATTTGAAGACGCTGCGTCTGAGGACATGCTCTATCTGCCGGCTTGCTGGTGGCACTGCGTGTCTGGACTCGAAAACAAAGACCAGACAGTTGCGAGTCACTTGTGGAACCATGAAGGCATGGGTTAGTCGAGCGCGTGCTACATCTTCATAGACCACTTATCGAGCATCCCAAGCCTCAGAGTGGACTGGCACAAGCTGCTTGCTCTTGGTTGCTCTCGTCCGAGGTGGAAGGCTCAGACGACCGCTTCCTGGAACGCAATGGAACATTCAACTCATCCTCTCAACACATGTTCAGAGCGCCAATTCAAATGGAAGCCTCAAGTGCTGCAAGCCAATTTGCATGCGATCCTCGTCTCCGCACTTGAGGGCTAAAGTCTGCGAGGCTGAAGTTAAAACATTAAAACCTCTCACTCCAGGCAACGTCATCCTGAACTGGTGGTTCGGCCAGCACCCTGAGAAGAAGCAGGCCGAGCTGCGCATGAACAATCCCGATGCGCTATAAGGTTCCAGGAGGGATGGATGCAGGGCTTGAGAAGTGTAGGGCCACGCAGATATAGGTTCAAAAGAGTTGCAGTTCCTTTCGAGACTCTAGCACTGCACATTCTGCCTGAGGCTGCATTTCGAAACGCCAAAGTGAGCGGCGGATACGCGTAGGGAGTTGAAGAGGTCCCTTATGGCCCTGTTGACGCTGTGGCACCTTGTCGAGGCCCTTTCGGGGGCAGAAGGAACCCGAAGCAATGTCACCACAGGAGCTAAGGCTGGCTTGGCTTCATCGGGTCGCGTCGAGAGGGTCGCGTCGAGAGTGAGCGAGAGCGATGTGCGCCTGAACACCTCGACCATGCCGATGGAGCGGCAGATCCCTGCGGAATGTTCCCAGCTGTGACTGAAGATTGACTTGGGCAAATCCTTTCCTTCACCCCTAAAATGCTTCTACGTAGAAAATATACATCCTTGTGAGTCCAGCGACGCGTTGCGACCGCCTGGGGTCGGCCAGATGCAGTGCGAAAGCCGTGCAAAAATCAGCTCAACCAGATGTCCTGAGGGGTATTTGTCATTCTCTTGTAGCTCAACTTCCTGCATGCCACACTAGGGAAAGGATGCGCCTTCTAGTGGACTCCATCCTCTTCCGGCTTGTGGATGATTCATGCCAGGCATCGCCATTGGCAAAGCTTGTCATTGTGAAATGATCTAAGACTGCTCCAACTGTCTAGACTATATAGGCTATAAACGGTCAGGCATCAAAGCAACTGACTTGATCGACTGTGCACCTTGTCAAGCTACAGCCATGTTGGCCCACGCTTTGGCCAGACATGATATATATATATATATATATACAATCGCGACTCAGGGTTAGGGGGTTGGCTTCTCGAGTTGAAGACTGATGGGTTTGAGTAAACAGAAAGGGAGCCTGTGCGGGAAGGGAACCGGTGCTTGTCTAAGGTTCTGCGAACCGCCGCGGCAACGACCAGTGGCGCGCGAGCGAAAATGTTGGAGGCCTCATCAGAAGATTGAAAACGTTTTTCACAGCCTGCGGGGTGCTGAGGACGGCCAGGAAACGCTAAGCAGAGTTGAGTTAGAGTTATATGTTAGTCTCATCTTTTCAGTAGTACTGTCAGGGACTTGCTCCTGCAGGCACGGTGTAAAATCTCATGTCGCGTGACACATGCCCTGCTAAAAAAGACAAGTCCGGTGACCTGTCCATAACAATTGCGTCAAGAGGTTGATGCGGATTGTTCTCAAGTCTGAAGCAACTTCAAACAGCGACCAGGCATGAACTAATCAGCAGCATGGCAGTCACGCCACGCGCTTGCAGTTAGCCGATCCTAGACCATGTGTGCAAATTTTGGTAAAGAAGCCCAAACGTATAGGCTACCCGTAGCCCTAGCTGTAGGGCCTACGGCTGGCTACGCGTAGGCCTGTCGGTAGAGTCTGCGGCAGCCTACGCGTAGGCCTATCCGTAGGGCTATAGGTAGGCTACCGGCAGGCCTACCGTAGGCCTGCCGGTAGGCTGCCGGTAGGCCTATCCGTAGGCCTACGGGTAGGCTGCCGGCAGGCCTACCCGCAGGCCTACGGGTAGGCTGCCGGTAGGCCTACCCGTAGGCCTACGGGTAGGCTACCGGCAGGCCTACCCGTAGGCCTACGGGTAGGCTACCGGTAGGCCTACCCGCAGGCCTACGGGTAGGCGAGCGGCAGCCCTACCCGCAGGCTTATACGTAGTCGAGGCACAGTAGTAGTGATGATCTCGGGGCTGGGGCTCGGGCACAAAAAGGAGGGCCTCAGAGTCCATGCGTGCGTGATTTCTTTTACGGATGCACATGATGTCTCGGGTCGAGAATTTAGGGAGCAGTTTGACGGGTGCTTTCGTCGTTTCTCGAGTCCTGGGGCTCGGTGGCCCTGGACCGAGCCCCAGGACTCGAGAAACGACGAAAGCACCCGTCAAACTGCTCCCTAAATTCTCGACCCGAGACATCATGTGCATCCGTAAAAGAAATCACGCACGCATGGACTCTGAGGCCCTCCTTTTTGTGCCCGAGCCCCAGCCCCGAGATCATCACTACTACTATGCCTCGACTACGTATAAGCCTGCGGGTAGGGCTGCCGCTCGCCTACCCGTAGGCCTGCGGGTAGGCCTACCGGTAGCCTACCCGTAGGCCTACGGGTAGGCCTGCCGGTAGCCTACCCGTAGGCCTACGGATAGGCCTACCGGCAGCCAACCCGTAGGCCTGCGGGTAGGCCTACCGGTCGCCTACCCATAGGCCTACGGGTAGGCCTGCCGGTAGCCTACCTATAGCCCTACGGATAGGCCTGCTTGTAGCCTATCCGTAGGCCTACGGGTAGGCCTACCGGTAGGCTATCCACAGCCCTACTGGTAGGCCTGTCAATAGGCGACTGGTAGGCCTACAGGGAGGCCTACCAGTAGCCCACTCGTAGGCCTACGGATAGGGCTACAGGTAGCCTCGCATAGCCTCTACGTAGGTCTGTACATAGGCTACCCGTAGGCCTAGGGTAGACCTACCCATAGGTCCGACGTAGCCTTAGTTTCGGGCTTCTGTATGCAAATTTTAGAATCTCTGCAGGACACCTTTGCGATGGCCATGGTCAGTGGAAAGGGCAGGGATGGGTAAGGCGGGCAAGGGCAAGGGGCCGCCGCCTGCACCCTCCGCACATAAGGCCCCCTCCAAAGGCAAGGGCAAAGCTGCCTCTGGGCTCGGTGCACCCAGCAAGGCCGATGAAGGCACGGCTTGGTGGCACAACGCACGGCTGCAGCATGAAGATGGCCACTGGGAAGCCGAAGCATTGATGAATGGCCTGGGCTTGGACATCGCATATCCCCCATCCTCACCTCAACGCGAGGCATTGATTGCAGAAGGCCCATTCCTGGCAACAATCATGATGCTGGAGATTGGGCGCCGGAGCATGCAAATGTTTACAGCATATGCCGCGAAGCCCAAGCAAGTGGTCGACATCAAGTTGGGTGATGGCCGCGGAAAAGCGGATGAAGTTGTCGTGACGCATGTAGAACTCACCGAGGAAGAGAAGCAAGAACGCTTGGCGGGCTTGAGCGAGTTCGCGGAACGATGCGGGCTCCGAGCAGATTGGGAAGAGCGTGCGCAGCGGTGGCTGGAGAAACATCCAAGAGCAGCGTCTCGCGCCTGTGTGGAAGAGCTTGCTTCTGCAGAGCTCCGTCTTCGCTTTACACATATAGGAGACAAAAGCCCCAAACGCACGGAGAAGAGAGCCACATCTGAGGAGAGACGAAAGCGGGAAGAGCTGAAAAGAGAGAAAGAAGCCGCGATGCTGGCAAAGGAAGAGGCAGCCGTGGCCAAACGAAATGAAGTCATGAACCATTTCAGAAGCTTGATCCCCGCGGACATCAACAATGTTGCTTGGTCCAATGCCAAAGGCTTCCACTTGATGGAAGGTGGTAGCGGCGGAGTGATGCTTGTTGATTTAGGCACCTCCTGTGTCGTTCTTAAGTCTCAGGGCAAGACTGCAGCCAGCGAGATGATGGCGCAAAAGGTCGCGGATGTTCTTGACGTGCCAATAGCTCATGTGCGTGTAGTAAGTCGGGGACAGGAGGAGTTTCAGGACATCCAGACAAGCCTTATCAAGCACTTCGATGGCGACTGGCGACAAGCAGAATTCATCGGCATTTGGGAGAATGCAGATGGCACCAGGGAGGATGTTGGCGTGTCGTTCTTCGGGGTTTTGGAGTTCGCACAAGGGCACGTACTCATGGGCCGAGAGGGTCATGATGCTCTTCAAGCTTCAATTGCTCCAGAGCCCAAGTTGATGTATCAGCTTGGGCGGCTCTGCGCAATGGATGTCTTGATCAATAACCTGGACCGTGTTCCGTTACCAGTGTGGCAGAACGAAGGTAACCTGGGCAATGTCATGGTGACGGGTCATGGCGGTGCCATTTTGGGAATTGATCAGCAAATCAATCTGGTGATGTCGGGAAGCGGGCTGGACATGTACCTGGAAAAGGTTGCGAAGCTTCTTGTAAACTGCTCACCCAAAGGAGACCCGAGCATGATCACGGCCAAGTTGCGCCGAGCTTTGGAGGAGAACTGTGGAGCTTCGATCAGTGATGACGCAGCTGCTGACTTCATCTATGGTCTGCGGCAGGGCTTGGAAGGCATCGCACATCAATGGAGACGAGGCTCCCTGAAGAAGGTGCCTTGAACAGTGGGATAGCCGCATCTTTTTATCTTTTCGCTGTGTAATTATGCTCGATCCTCTGCCGATTTATTTTTGCTGTGTATGTGAATTATGTGGAGGGGCAGGGAGGGTCAGCGAACTCAGCAAGCAGGCACTTGAAGAAGGCCTTGAGACGTGTTTGGCGACCTTCATTCTTGACGGGCTTGACATGAAACATCTCGTTGCCCAGCCGCAGCTGAATACCTTGGATGCCATGTGTGACTTTGTATGTACAGTGGCCGAGAGCATTTCCCAGCACATCCCCGACTGATGCCTGTCAAAAGCAGTCGTGAAGAAGCTAGGTATGTGGGGTTCAGTTGTTGTTATGTTGTTGCTTTAATGTTGTTCAGGGTTCAGCATGCTTCTGCTGTTCCTGTTTTCGGACTCTGTGGGATCTAGTTTACCGTGACGGCAGCATGGCAATGAGTCATTCCAAATATGCTGCTGCCTTCAACGGGTAAGACTTTAAGAGCTCATGCGTTCCCAGTGCGTTCCGCAATCTCACCCGGGTTCAAGCAGAGGACTCGCATCAAGTCTGTTTCAGTCACAGAAAGGATCAGGCAGATTGACAACAAGAATTGCCACGGTACAGAACCATCCGCAGCACCCAGATTGAGCCAGATTCCGACCTATGGAAGGGGAGCCAGGTGAGGCTTCAGCTGCAAGGGCGGCAGCCTTGTGAAAACATACGAAGGGTCTAAGGTGCAAACAGGTGTATGGAGTTTAGGGTCAAAGATGGTTGGCATAGGGGTTGGGTAAGGTTGAAGGATAGGTGTGCTTTGCACTTCTCAAGCTGCTCGGTGCAGCCATGGGCGCAGGGAAGAGCGGCGCGGTTGCAATGCGAACGCCCCAAGCCCTGGAAGCATTTGAAACCGCACGCGCCGGCGGCAGAGCCCAATTAGTGCCCAATTCACAGAACTCAATGGCGCTAGTCATGAACATCTCGTGCGGACGCGCAGGGGTGCACTACTGTACTGCAACTGAGAGGGCATTTTTCCGACGACATGAACAAGAAGGCTAGAACCACGCAGCCGACCTCGGACGCCTACTGAGGTATTCACAAAATCGATGAGGCCGGCTCGAGAGTGGCCCTGGGCCCTGGGTTCATGCAGGGACGCAGTCAATCCTGCTATCGCCAGTCTGTGATCCGAACCCTCCCCGAAGTCCGAAGCTGTCAGCATGGACGGAGCTTGTGGTTGCCAACATAACCTTGCACCAACGGCAAGCAGGCTCTCGTAAACGATTGTAAAGCCCTGAACAGTGGACTTGGTTCGTTTGCCCCAGATGAGAGTCCAGGAGGCTCATGTCAAAACGTGTAAGACTTAGGCGCATAGCGGCCCGAGCTCGGGTTGCATCATCAAGCCCTTGTGACCCTTGTGCAGGGCTTCTTCATCTGCGGTGTCGATGCTCTGCGGGACCACAAGTACCTCAACACGCTAGGCTTGCTGAACAAGGGCTTGTGAGGGCTTGTCAAGCGTTGGAGCTTTGAGTCGTATGGGAGCATTCTCTGATCTTCGCGTCTGTCTGAGAGGTATGGGTATGGGAACCTGGCCGATGCATGCCAGAGTCAAGAAAGCATCCCAGGCATGCCATGCCGCAGCACATTTGGCCGAAAGCGGGTGAAGCCGCGCTTCCGTTGATCGTGAGTCCTAGTCGAAGGGGATCTATGGCGAGAGAAGTCGGGGATGTGGGATGATGTAGGGCTCATGATGTCTGCGTCGCCCTTTGTCTTGAGCGCACATGGGTTGCGGCAGTGGCTCCCATGACTCTCGGTCATGTCAGCATCGCAGACGCTCATCTCTGCTTAGGGGCTGGAATTGTTTGCGGGCTGTTAAAACCCCTTGTCTAACCGAGAGAGCAGTCACTGCGATTGGTACAGGAGCTGGTGGTAATCGTCGCGCCCCAAAGCTTTTGGCTCGAGCTTCATTTCTAAAGCACTGCGTTGCGCAGGAGTGTCAGCCCTGTCCGAGGGCGAGCACCCTTAAACCCGTTCTAGGAATCTACTCGCGAGAGAGAGAGGTTTGTGCCAGACGGATTGGACACCATGCTAAGGGAATGCACCACGGCGTACCAAGACAACCTCGCCGTGTGGTTGGACCTGTCACGACAGACACGCGGCACTATGGAGGGGATGGTACTCGTACTGTCGTCGTGGTTTCTGGTCTGTCTATGCAAAGCGAGATGCTAGGCAACATGCCAATGAGGGTGAAGCCAATTTATTACGTATCATTATTATATACAACCAGCCATAGCCGAGATGACAAGTGATTTGCAACCGACTGCAGTGCCGAAATGGGTGCTTGGCGCAAGAGAGAGGGAGGGAGACGCGGGGGCTTGCCCCTATGCCCATGCCCCCAGAACGGATGAGGCTGGCTGAAACTGAAACCCTAACACGTCGCAGAAAGCCTGTGGCCCGCGGCCGTACACTCCACACAATGAAGCGGCAAAGTGTGAGAGCTTCCGCCTTCCCAGGACCTCCGAGTTCACCGATGTCGGGCAGCGCCCGCATTGGTACAAGCAGGCCGAAGCTGCAGAGCCGCGTCAGACCAGCTCTGAGTCACATGCAAGAACTTTATGAACAAAAATAGGGTGGTGGCCGGTAATTGCCCGCGGGGTCTTGGAGACTTCAGGCCGTTCGTGTGCGTGCTGGCTCTCGACATGACCACCGGATAATGCACATAAGAATGGTTGATAGTATCGGCAGAGCATGCATGTGACCGAGCTTGCGCTCTTTACTGGATTTAGGGTGTTGTGGTATGCTGGTCGACATAGGCTGGAAACAGAACGGCGCTCAGGGCCTGTTCCGTAAACATCACCCATCGCTCTCTCGGAAGGCAACTCGTGCAGCAAAGGAGCTGGGAGGCGAGGCAAGGAAAGCATGGGCGAAGTTTGCAAGGGTGCATGTCAGCTACAAGTTGGGCCCCCGACTGTATGAACGCCTTATACGCCTCGAAGCGGGCTTACTGACTCTGATATGTCATCAGCAGCTCACCTTGCACGTCCAAAGTTCAAAGACTCCTTGGCCCCAACCCCCCAAGGACGCTACTCTCGCTTTAGCATTCGGGACGGGTTTTGTGCCCTAAACTTAAGAGCATCTCTAAAGCTTGAACCCCCCCACAGATGACCCCCACATATTCAAGATTGCGGTGTGTGGAGAGCTGCGGCCTCGGGCTTGTCGAAGTAGGAGATGTTGAAGCGCAGACAGGAGAAGACATTGAACAATGGGCACTTCAGATGTTCGATGCAACCAGCATCGAATGTCCCTCAGACGCACGTAACCTTCAGCGGACTCCTTGAGGTCGTTGGGATCGATTCAGATCATGGCCTCGCCCTTGCTTATTTGCTCTCAGACACAAGCATCATCCCATGGCTCAAGAGCACTTGCCTCGAGCTCTTAGATACAAATCGATCCCCGCGGCGATCAGGGATTCGCCGTGGTTTTGTAAGCCCATTCTGACAAAGTCATGGAGCTGCATCACTGCGACACACCAGCTCCTGGATCCTAGCCCCTAGTTTCCAGATTCTAGATCTTGGGTGAAGTTGGACCGACACCCAGCCATTTCTTCGGTCTCGGACGAACTGATTCCTCCTATTCTGACGCGATGGCTCGAGAACGTCATGCCCTTTACTCAAACCGATTCTGACGTGATAGGAACCACCCCAGGCCCCTGGTTCAAGATCATGGTGGCGCACGGAGTTTTTAGACAACCCGGTTCGGCTGCAGCGAAAAGATCGTGGTAGTTGAGACACACCAGTTTTAGATCACGGACTCGCCGCGGGCTCTTAGGTGCGAAGCGATTCTGCCGCGATGGTACACGATCATGGAATCGCCTTGTGCGTGGTCTCGGTTATACGAGCAGTGGACGTCTTGAACTGGTGTGACACCACGTCACGGCGACGCACCAGTCTCATACAGCTTTTCGGACTTCCTACCCTGAATTAGCGTCCAGGTTCAGAGGCGTATTTTCGGGTTTAAAGAGGTCAGTGGTGTGAAGCCCACGCTTACACCGTTTGTGCCACAAGTCTTGATGTCTCGCTCTCTCCCGAATCCGTGGCCAATCATCAACAGAAACATGTGCAATTGGTCCTATGCCCATTTATGCCACTTTGAGAGCTTTGGATTGTGAGAGTGCAGAATATCAGTATTGGCTCGTGTGTGGCATGGCAGCAATGTTTCTCTTTTACCGGTTGAGCAATGAGGGAACAGCGGCGTGTCCAGCGATATTGTAAAGCATATGAGGAAAGGGTGGCGGGATGGTTGCGCGCACTTTCAGCATCTTGCAGCCGGAGCTCTCGAACAAAAACCCCATTGCGGCCGCGTTCCGCGACTGCAGTCCCGTCACAGTGACAAACCCTGCGATCCGCAGTTCCCGAACCATACACAGCTGAATCATAAAAATGACAATCGGAACGGGCATGTTGTTTCGGGGGCGGATCCATAGGTCGAGAGCGCGTACGCCCGTGGCCTTTTGATCTTGTCTAAATATTGACACCTCTGGAACCCATTCTTCCCAGCACGGGTCCTGAGGTGGCGGCCTAGGACCGAACTAGGCCCCACCCTGAAAGCCCAGGTCAGGGCTGTTGGATTGCTGGCGGTACCTACATCGAGGTGCGGCTGCGATTGGAGGCGCTGCCCCTTGGGGAAGGATTTTGTCCCAGGAAGACCGCAGTCCATCACGTAAGGAATCCTGAAATTTTGCCATTGGCTTTGAAGGGGCAAGGGGGAGCTTTATTTGGGTTTTTGGTCGCTCCCCTTGCCATGTTGCACAAACCAACAGCCGTGGGTGACAACTGGGTGGGGTGCCCATACGAGGTCTTTTTGGGGTTCGTGGGATAATCTATGTTCCAAGGATTGTTTCGAGTTTTGAGCTTCATTGATTGTATTCTTCCTGGGTCACTTCTTGGTCTTGTTAGCGGGCGTCGATCCAGAAAAAAAGGGCCAGAGAGAGAGTGAGCGAGAGAGGCCACTTGCGCGCCCCTAGGGGCAGCTCTCCCTTCGGGGGGGGCTAAGCGTGCAGAGAGAGAGAGAGAGAGAGAGAGAGAGAGAGAGAATGACCCGAGCGTGGAGACGCCGGGGAAACTATGACGACAGCATTGACGACCTCACCGATGCGGAGAAAGAAGCGGAAGGAGACTGAAGAGTACGGCAGTGAGACGCACTGAGGGGAAAGGAAGCGTGCAGTCCAGGGGAAACCCCTAAGAGCCCAATGCCCGGGGAAGCCAGCCAAACAAAGTAAGATGGGGGATGGGGAGGTCTTCGGGGAAACTTGT